GATCAAAATCAATTTCGGGTCTCTGCGAAAACCATTGAGCAACTAATATCGCTTTGTATCTCACCACATCATTATTTTCATTTCTCTTTCGCACGAACACCCATTTATATCCTACTGGGATAACATTTTGAGGTGTACGCAATAGAGCCAAAAACTTTTCGTTTATTTAGCGAGTCTAGTTCAGCCTCAATTGCCTCTTTCCATCTTACCCAATCAGAGCGCTTCCGGCACTCTACAATTGATTTTGGTTCTGGATCCAGGTTATTGGAGATGGTAAAAGCAACTATAGACGCAAATGTGTCGTCGACGACTATGTTACTTCTATTATAAGTTTCTCTTGTATCAACAAAATTCGTAGCTACTTCAATATTTACATCAACAAGATCTTCATCATTTCCCAATATATTTTGATCTGGATGTTCCGCAATCCTAGTATTTTTATTATTTGTTACACGTGCATTTAAACTAGAATTTTCGCCTTCTGGACGATTCTCTTCTGGAGATTTTGGGAGTGATTCAATATTCTTATTAGATTTTGTTTTCCGCGGATTATTATCTTTTGTACCAACGGGTCTACCACGCTTTTGGTGTGGAGCATCTGCAGGATTATTAGATTTTATGGGGACTTCCACACGTTGTGGAGCATTTATTGAAGGTACATGAGATTTGGTCACTCCTTTATGATCAGTAAATGCATCTGGCAGATTATTTGCTAAATATTGCAAATTAATTATCTTTTGAACTTCAAGTTCAGTTTGATTAGTGCGTGGATCTAAATATTGTAGATTTTCTACATTCCAAGAAATTTCTCAGCATTTATTTAAGTTTGGGCTTTTATCTCCCCCTAATGCCGGAAAATTCTCTTCATCGAATATACAGTCAGCGTACCTAGCTGTAAATTGATCCCCAGTCATGGGCTCTAGGTATTTTAGAATAGACGGAGATTCATAGCCAATATATATACCTAGCTTTCTATGAGGGCCCATAGAGGTACGCTGTGGTGGTGATATGGGAACGTAGAATGCACAACCAAATACTCGCAGATGGGAAATGTTAGGTTCTTTACCACGCACTAGTTGTAAAGGGGAGTAATTATGATATGCAGTTGGTCGGATTTGAATTAGGGCAGCAGCATGTAAAATTGCATGTCCCCAACATGAAATTGGTAAGTTGGAATTTGTAACAATGGTCTAGCAATTAATTTGATGCGTTTAATGAGTGATTCGGCTAGACCATTTTGTGTGTGGACATAAGGTACCAGATGCTCCACTTTGATGCCCAGTGACATACAGTAATCATCAAAAGCTTTCGATGTAAATTCACCGGCATTATCCATTCTGATAGTTTTAATTTGATAATCAGGAAATTGAGCTCTTAATTCAATAATTTTAGCAAGGAGCTTTGGAAAAGCCTGATTTCTAGTGGACAATAAACACACATATGTCCATCGAGTGGAAGCATCTATCAATACCATAAAATATCGAAAAGGTCCCGAAGTGGGATGAATAGGGCCACATATATCACCTTGAATCCTATAAAGGAACGTAGGAGATTTAGTTCCAACTTTAGTACGTGAAGGTCTCAATATTAATTTTCCCTTTGCACAAGCATCACAAATAAATTCATTAAAAGAAGGGAGATTGCTGCTAGATACGGTATGCCCAATAGAGGTAGAAATAATCCGACGCATCATACTAAGCCCAGGATGACCCAATCGCTCATGCCATAATTTAAATGAATTTGGGTCTGTAAATTTTAGGCTCAATGCAACATGATTAATAGAAGGTTGAATGTAAGTATGGTACAAGCCTGAGGAGAAAGAGGGAAGTTCTTCTACCATTTTCTTTTGACTTCCTTGTGAATGAGTCATTAGAAGATACTCTATATTGTTTTCAGCCTTAGTTTCAATATGAAAACCATTAGATCGAATATCTTTAAAACTAAGGAGTGTTCTTTGTGATTCAGGGTACAAAAGTGCATTGTTAATTATTAATTCAGTACCCTTAGGAAGAGTAAGTAAAGCTTTGCCGGAGCCTACTATCAAGATTTTATCATGAGCAATTGTAGAAACACTCTATTTTTTTTCATTTAAAGTTTGAAAAAATTTCCTATCTTTCAAAATAGTGTGCGTAGTAGCACTGTCGACCAGACATAAAATGCCCTCTTTCTCCATAAGATGCAAACTAATGAATGGTTGTGGTACACTAAAAGAAAAGTAAAACATTGTAAGCAAACGAAGCAATCATGAAGTCCCAATCAAAACATAACGTCTGAAAACATACCAATAGCAAAAACAAACCACAAATGTCTGGCGAAGCAAAAGAAATCAGAACTGTCTAATAGCAAAACAAACCACGAAATAAAAATATTCAGTTCTAAGATAGAATGCATATTAATCACACATCATCACCATAGTCCTCGAGCTCAAGCTTCAATAAATCATCATCATCAGCATTGAAAGCTAAATTTGCTTCAGGCAAACTAGCATGATGTGATTCACCTTGAGGAGCCTTTCCTTTCTTATCCTTGAGCATTCTTTGATAGGCCTCAACTAGATGCCGAGGAGTACGACATGTGCAGGACCAATGATTATCGCATCCACATCTAAAGAAAACCTGCTTCTGCTCTTTAGGTTGTGGATGTGAATCGCGTCGATTTGAACGATCCACCTCAATGTTCAAGTTCTCGCTACGGCCTCCCGAGATGTTATCACCATGACCTCGCCCACCATCTCGAGTCCAAACACGGCGACGACCGCGTCCACGACCACGACTGCGACCACGTCCACCACGGGGTGGCTGGGTATGGTATCCTCGACCTCTCCCTCGCACATTATGATGCCCGTAAGTAGTCGCATGTGCTTCAGGCACAACTTGAGTTCCAACAGGCCTAGCATTATGATTTTTCATCAACAATTGATTGTGCTTTTCGGCCACAAGCAAGGCCGATATCATCTCAAAGTGAGTTGCATAGTTTTTAGCCCTATACTGCTGCTGGAGTACAAGGTTACTAGCATGAAAAGTTGATAAAGTCTTTTCAAGCAACTCGGCCTCTGTAATGTTCTGCTTACAGAGTTTCAGCTGTGAAACAATACGATGTAGGGCCGAATTATATTCAGTGACGGATTTAAAGTCCTGAAACCGAATATTAAGCCAGTCATAGTGAGCTTGAGGGAGAATTATGGTCGTTTGTTGGTCAAAGCGATCCTTCAGGGATTTCCAAAGATTGGCGGGATCTTTTTCGGTGAGATATTCATTTTTAAAATCTTTATTGAGATGGTGGCGAAGAAAAATCAATGCCTTTACCTTCTGGGCAGGAGTTCTTTGAGATGTAGAAGCAGTTGTAGCACTTAAGTCGAACGAGGTCAGGTGAATCTCAACATCAAGGGCCCAAGTCAAATAATTACTCCTATCAAGGGCGAGCTAAGCAAACTCTCTTTTGGTGATATCAGTCATTTTCAAATTCTACAACTTTATCAAAAAAAATTATATTATCACAAAAAAAAATTGATTTCATGAATGATATATAGCGTTTTTATGAGATTATTAATTGTAACATATCTCAATCGACAAGACACATTGCAGATCTGAATGTGAAGGAACAAAAATTCCAAAAATTTTATGTGTTCGAACAGACCAATTTTGGGAAGGAGACCGTGGCTCATGCGGGAATTCCAAATCCCATCCAATAACAATTTGATTCCAAAATCCCAGATTTTGTGTTCAATTCGGCAAATCCCAAATTTGTAGGTTCAGTTCGAAAATTGTTCAAGCAGCACCATAGTTTTACAATTATATATTATCGACTAAAGATTTATAAACATGCATTATAGCATAATAAGCTATACATATAAATTAACATTCATGTAACCCCATTGGGCATATAAACACTACATTTGGAGTCCTGCTATTGTCATTTTTTTTTTTTTTTGATTGATTTCGTTTTTTAAATATAGATTTTGTTTTTACGCAACAAAAAGCAAGTAATTAAAATAAATGGAGTTTGAAATTTTGAAAACTCTTCGCAAAGATTGGGCCATGAATTAGATTTTAAAGCAGGTTTGTATTGCGTACAAATTATACTTTCGCTGCCAGCCAATTGTTGGTAGAATGTTAGAAAATTAAACTACATATGCATATTGAACTAAAAGATGCATTAGCAGATTCCAATTCTCAAACTATTGCACCAATTCCCAGAATTTCACAAACACAAAATTAGTTCCAAATTAATTTTGCTTAATCTACATTAATAATACAATTTCGGTACATACATATACTGAAGTATTTCGACTTTTCAAATCCCAGATTTTGAAGGCTCGAACATTAAGCAGCATCCCAACAAATAATTGTTGATTTAATTGATCATTAAAACAATTTTAATTAAAGATTAAACTAAAATATAATTACCAGATTTTGATCCATATCAATCCAATTTAATCAAATACGCCATGCATATCAAACAGAGCATTGAAACAATTTATTGAACATGAAATTCTTATGAATTGAGGAAACAGATTTCGAAAATACCTTGCAGGAAAAACACGATTTTTTCCTAGGGCAAACACCAATAACGAACTAGAGCGTGCTGATAACGTGTTGTAAATTGCAGTCCTCGATATTCACCAAGCATCCATCAATCCAAGCATAAAAGAGGTGCAGTAAAAGAACGAGAAAAAGAGAAGCAGAAAAGTAAAGAGAAGCAGAAAAGTCTGTTTTTTTTATTCATCGGTATTCACTCTTTTTATAGAGTCTACAAAGGAGAAACCCTAAAACCTAATTCTACTAACTGATGGACTTCAAGCCCAATTATCTATTAGTAATGTCCATATTAATATATTTATAACATATCTATAATTAAAAAAATCTCAATAAATGTGTAGGTGAAAATTAACTTTATCTTAAATATGTTACTCGGTTCAACCCGGATCCGCGTGAGGACCTGAACTGGATCCACTAACTGGATCCACATCCATTTTGAAGACTGATGCGTCAAAAGTCAAAATGTCAACTGTAAGTTTTTGCGTCCTCTGGACCAATCAGATTTCGGCACGACTAACTCCAGCCACTCACAACATGTCACGTGTAAAACCACGTATTATGCAACCCCACCCTCTTTCTACATACAAATCTGGGGCCATTAACAGAACCAAAGAGAGAGCTTGGGAAAAGTTTCCAAGAAAAACGTAAAGGAGAAAGACAGCCAGCTAGCATTGGGGTTGTGGAGGAAGAACCTTCACGGCGGCGATCTGGTGGTTTCCGTCTATTCTTCCGCTTCAATGGAGTCTCACGGCTCTGGACTCAGCCGTGTGTTTCTCTTGGCATTTTGTGTCGCCGGCATTTGGGCCGCGTATATTTATCAAGGCGTCCTTCAGGAGACTGTGTAAGGATTACTATTTCTACTGTGTTAGCTCCGAGACGTAGTGATTGAGTTTGAGGCACATGATTTAGTGTGCTGATTTTTCCAGGGTTAGACTTGTACGGATAGAAATAACATTAGGGAAACTTTGGGATTTGGATTGATGAGTTTGTGGGTATTGTGCTGGCTCTCTGTGTGTGTGTGTGTGTGTGTGTGTGTGTGTGTGTGTTACAGTTTTTTTTTTTTTTTNNNTTTTTTTTTTTCATACTGGCTTTTAAAATCTAATATTTGTTATGTCTTTTAGTAATAATTTGGATTTTGGTGAATGTATTGACTTAGGTCGACAAAGAGATTTGGTCCTGATAAAAAGAGGTTCGAGCACTTGGCGTTCTTGAACCTTGCTCAGAGTGTGGTGTGTTTGATATGGTCATTCTTAAGTAAGTCTGTGATGTACCCATTGACTATCAAATTGTTTGATTTTGCTGAATGATTTGCGGTTGCTCACTTGTGTTGTTTGTGCTTTTTTGAGTAGTGATAAAGATTTGGTCCAATGGCGGAAACAGTGGTGCTCCATGGTGGAGTTATTGGAGTGCTGGTATTACGAACACGATCGGTCCCGCTATGGGTATTGAAGCTTTAAAGTACATCAGCTATCCTGCTCAGGCATGTTTATGATCCAACTCATTCTTGCTTTTCTTTCTTTTCTGCTACACGATAAGTGTTTTGTTCTGTTGGACAGCAGTCACTGTTCTAGTGTTTTTATTAGTTGGTTTATTGTATTTCACGCTTGCCTGGATTGATTTGGTTTATATTTATGTTAGGCATGCATTATCTAGTGTCCCTATAGTGATGGACTAGAATATTGCTTTCCACTTCAAACGTAATTGTTCTTCCTTTACCTCAATTTGCAGTGTAGTGAATGATATGAAGCCCAGAAATCTTATTTATACACTTGTTATTGATATTGAGTATATTTGTTCTACTTGATTCACATTTTTTTTTTTCTTTACTGATGTCATTTCTACCCCTCGCACATACGTATGAAATAGTGTGCATAACGGTCCATGCATTTCCTACAGATCCATCATTTTCTTAATTCGCCAGCTTGATTTCTTTATATTTCAATATTAAGCACATTTGCATAAATGCCACTTTACAACTTGATATCTGGGTCTGATGGTGATTCGAGTGATTTGAATGATCAAGCCAGTTTATTGATTGTCTGAATGAGCAATTTGGTTAGATGTATATATTTCGAGTCTTATGAACTAATGCTGTTGTTATCTATAGGTGCTTGCGAAATCCTCAAAAATGATACCTGGTGAGTTATTGACTAGATTTTGCCTTTCCAATGCTAATTATATGTTTCACGATTGTACAATCTAGCATGATGAATGTTATTAAAGGAAAGTCTATCTCGTGTAGCCATATTTGATGTTGCGGTTAGATAATAAGGAAACAGATGGAGATTCAGATTTGCACCAGATTTTGTTGCATTTAAGAGCTTTTTGTTTCTCTGCCTAAAGATCAGAGTGAAATATATATCATCACACCCATTAAGTTCTGTATGCAGAAAGATGAAAATATCAGTAAAACTAAGATCTTAAACCCAGTGAAATTTGGGAAATATGTCTAGTATAATGGTGTAATATTGAGTAATTGTAAGTTGAGGGATGAATTTTATAGTAAGTGTACCTGTCTCTTATAAACTCTTATTTTTATTTTGCAGTGATGCTGATGGGTACTCTAGTTTATGGGATACGGTACTCCTTTCCTGAGTATGTTTGCACATTGCTGGTTGCTGGTGGTGTATCTACTTTTGCACTTTCAAAGGTTAGTATCTGCAGGTACTTGTGTTTTTCTTTTGCGTGCACTACTTGTGTACTTTCCGAGTCATTGTTTGAATAGCAATCATAATGGCACTATTAGAATTCCAGTTTAGGAGTTCATCAATTAAATACTATTCTGCATTCAAGTAATATATAAAGAAACTCAAATGGGTTTTATGTTCAACACAAAAAGAGAAAGACCATTTTCATGTTGTATTTTTGCGCAATGCATTGTTTGTTCACTAGTTTCAAGCCCATGTAATTTAGGAACAAATTTCTATTTTGTCTTCACATGCAAAATATGCAATATTCAACAGCACGTGGTCTACCCTGCTATGAGATCTCCATATTTTGGATATCATTATATTGAAGACCCTTGTTTCTTGATTTATTCTTGTTGTGCCTTGATATTTTCTTACTTACAGACTAGCTCGAAGACTATTAGCAAGCTAGCACACCCAAATGCTCCACTTGGATATGGGCTTTGTTTTCTGAACCTTGCTTTTGATGGGTTCACTAATGCCACTCAGGATTCAATTACTACCAGGTAACCCCATCAGATTTCATATGTTGAGTGTGTATAGTTTTATCATTTTGTTTTTTCTTCATATCATTATCTTTCGTTTTTCTCTTTGACGGCCCCTCAATCAAGGTTTGCTGTGATTGATAAAGAGAACATGAATTTCCATTCAGGTACCCCAAGACAAACGCGTGGAACATAATGCTAGGAATGAACTTGTGGGGTACCATATACAACATGTTGTTCATGTTCGGCTGGCCAGGTGCTATCGGGTACGATGCAGTACAATTCTGCCGGAACCATCCAGAAGCTGCCTGGGACATACTCCTCTACTGTCTGTGTGGTGCGGTAGGCCAGAATTTCATCTTCTTGACTATAAGCCGATTCGGTTCCTTGACTAACACAACTATAACAACAACTCGGAAATTCGTGAGCATAGTCGTGTCGTCTCTGCTGAGTGGGAATCCTCTGTCCGAAAAACAATGGGGAAGTGTGGTTATGGTGTTCTCGGGATTATCTTATCAGATTTACCTGAAATGGAAGAAAATTAAGAGGACTCAGAAGAAGAGGAAGTCCACATAAGCGACGACATTGTTGATTCTGATGCCGATATGAAGATTTAGTGCTTTCTTTTTTAAAAAAAAAAAAAATCTTGGAGTGAGATATGATATAGCCAGTGAGATTTTAGTGGCTATAAATTGAAATTGGTAGTATAGAATATTACTTGGTGGTCATAGCTTGTTATACAGAAAGTATACCATGAATACAAGTTTTGGTATGGTT